CATCTTTTAGTTTTTGCAAATCTGATGAATAAAAAATATTTCATTGTTTCATTTTGCATTTCTCTAATTACTGGGGAAGTTGAATGAGCATTTCACATGTTGATTGGACATTTGTATTTCCCCTTCTGTAAATTATCTGTTTATTTCTCGTTGAACTGTAGAAGCTCTTTTTCCATTTTAGAGAATCCTTTGTCTGTTATTTGGGCTGCAAATATCTTCTCCCCATCTGTAGCTTGTTTTTACTTTTGTTTACGGTATCTTTCAATACAAAAGGGTTTTTTATTTTAATGAATTTAAATCCATCAGTCTTTTCTTCTGTGACTTTTGAATTTTGCGTTATGATTAGAAAAGGCTTCTCTACCCCCAAAGTTATAAAAATATTCTCTGATGTTTTCTCCTTATATTTTTAGAATCTGTTTTTAGTCCAATGGGAATCTATTTTTGTGAATGGTGTTTGTGTGAGAGGGTCTCGTTTTATTTTTTTCCTAAATAGATGGACTATTTTCCCAGAATCATCCCTTGAATAGTCCATTCTTCCCCTGCTAACTTACATATGCTAAATTTCCATACGAGCAGGAATCTGGTCTTAGACTGACTTTTCTCTTCCGTTGCTCTTTTTGCTATTCCGATGCCTTTACATCCTTACTTTCCATTCACTCAGCAATCACAGTAATCTGGCTTCTACCCACAATTCCCCTCGAATTATTATTCCAAAATGTATTACTGACTTTCATGTCACCAAACCCAATGAATATTTTTCAGTTTTCGTCTTCCTGGATACCATGTATCATTCCCTCCCATATGCTGCATGATTCAGCTCTCCCTTGATTCTTCTATCAATAAAAATCATGATCCGCTGGGCACGGTGGCTCATGCCTATAATCCTAGCACTTTGAGAGGCTAAGGTGGGCGGATTGCCTGAGGTCAGGAGATCGAGACCAGCCTGGCCAACATGGTGAAACCCCATCTCTACTAAAAATACAAAAATTAGCCAGGTGTGGTGGCAGGTGCCTGTAATCCTAGCTACTCCAGAGGCTGAGGCAGGAGAACTGCTTGAACCTGGGAGGCAGAAGTTGCAGTGAGCTGCACCATTGCAGTCCAGCCTGGGTGACAAGAGTTAGACTTCATCTCAAAAAAAAAAATCATGATCATAATATCTTCAGTTTATGAGGTGAGGTGGTTACTCTGTGCCAGGTGTTTAAGCATTTTATATTCCACACATGTCAAATGTGCTTCACCACAACTCTCTAAGGTAGGTATTATTTTCATCATCATCATCATCCCCATTTTACAGATGAGAAAACTGAGGCATAGAAAATTTAAATACCTTGTTGAAGATCCCTGGGCTAAAAATATGGCAAGATGGGATTTGAATCCAGGTCTAAGACCAAAGCCTAGGTTCCTAAGCACTCCCCTCTAAGCCTGTCCTTCTCAGTCTCTCCTTTAAATGCCCTTTTCTCCAGCATCTTTTTTTTTTTTTTTTAGATGGAGTCTGTCTCTGTCGCCCAGGCTGGAGTGCAGTGGCTCAGTCTCTGCTCACTGCAACCCCCGCCTCCCGGTTTCAAGTGATTCTCCTGCCTCAGCCTCCCAAGTAGCTGGGACTACAGGTGCTGGCCGCCACGCCCAGCTAATTTTTTGTATTTTTGCTAGAGACAGGGTTTCACTGTGTTTGCCAGATGGTCTTGATCCCTTGACCTCATGATCCACCTATCTCAGCCTCCCAAAGTGCTAGGATTACAGGTGTGAGCCACTGCACCCAACCTTCAGCATCCTTTTTTATTTTTATTTTTTGAATGGAATCTTACTCTGTCGCCCAGGCTGGAGTGCCATGGCATGATCTTGGCTCACTGCAACCTCTGCCTTCCGGGTTCAAGTGATTCTCATGCCTCAGCCTCCCAAGTAGCTGGGATTATAGGCACGCACCACCATGGCCAGTTAATTTTTTGTATTTTTAGTAGAGACGGGATTTCACCATGTTGGCCAGGCTGATCTTGAACTCCTGGCCTCAAGTGATCTGCCCACCTCGGCCTTCCAAAGTGCTGGAATTACAGGCTTGAGCCACCGTGCCCTGCCTCCAGCATCATTTAAATGGTAGCTTTCCACAGTATCCGGCCTTACTCATTTCTCCTCCCAGTTTATGCACGTGCCCTTGTAAACAGGACATTCTAATGCCTGGTTTCAATGCAGTTTCACTGACATATCTATGCTAACAGCATGAAGAAAACACTGCTTTTTATTACAGATCCCTGGAGCTTACTCCACCCCTGCTCCCCAGTGAAATTTCAAGGAGGCTTTTCATTTCTACTTATTTATTATAAGTATGTATCATATTTATAATCAGGAAAAAACAATATGGATATTTTAAAAATATAATGGAAGTAGAATTGCCTCTGAGGGGCAGTATCTCTTCAGCCCTCCCAAGCCATCATTATCAAGGCATTGTCCAATGTTAGATATGTTGAATGTATGTAACTAAAGGAACTGTAAGAAATTTAATTAAAGTTTTTGAGCAATCTGCAGCTGAGATTAAGTACTCATATCGTGGCCTGAATATCCCCATTCTCCAAAGTTTAATATATTCTCAACCAAACAAGAATAGCACAATAAGCATGCCTATACAAAGCAGAGGTGGCCGGATGCAGTGGCTCACGCCTGTAATCCCAGCACTTTTGGAAGGCTGAGGTTGGAGGATCACTTGAGGTCAGGAGTTCGAGACCAGCCTGGCCAACATGGCGAAACCCCATCTCTACTAAAATTACAGAAAAATCAGCGGGGTATGGTGGTGCATGACTAATTTCAGCTACTGGAGAGGCTGAGGCAGGAGAATCGCTTGAACCCGGGAGGCGGAGGTTGTAGTCAGCCAAGATTGTGCCACTGCATTCCAGCCTGGGTGATAGAACGTGACTCCGTCTCAAAAAAAAAAAAAACCAAAAACAAAGTAGAGATGTCTTTTTTCTAGAATTTCAAATGCAAAACAGAACTCAGTTCCATTATGAAGAAGCTACATATATTTATTCATTATAAGGAAGTAAGCGTGGCTGTTACAGCTTTAAGGGGGAAATAAAAGAATTTGACATAAAGTTCCTCTAAGAAGCAAAAGAATCCTGAAACGATAAGAAGACCCTCTGCTCAAAATGATGAATGGCCCTTTCTGAGATTAACACATGTGATAACCACGTGACTTCTGGTTAAATGCAGATGGTGCCTGACCCCACCCCTTATCACATCCTCATCTCTGAGCCTCACCTACTCTTCACTCATACACATTCTCAAACCCCCACATCTTTTTTGTTTGTTTGTTTTGAGACAGAGTCTTGTTCTGCCTCCCAGGCTGGAGTGCAGTGGTGCAATCTCAGCTCACTGCAACCTCTGCCTCCCAGGCTCAAGTGCTTCTCCCACCTCAGCCTCCAGAGTAGCTGGAATTACAGGCACCTGCCACCATACCCAGCTAATTTTTGTATTTTTAGTACAGACAGGGTTTCTCCATGTTGGCCAGGCTGATCTTGAACTCCTGACTTCAAGTGATCTTCATGCCTCAGTCTCCCAAAGTTCTGGGATTACAGTCACGAGCCACCTTGCCTGGCCCCCTAACATATTTCCTAGCCCCTCTCCTATCTCTCTGCTTACTCCTGTTCAGTCCCTTTTCAGGGTGTCTTTTCCTTCGTCTGTGGATTTAACATCCCGAGATTTTCGTCTTTAGTCCCGTGTTCTTCTCACTCTACTGTGATCCCTGGACGATTTTACGTATGTCCATGGTTGGGACATGTCACCTCTACCTTAATAACCCAATCCATATTTCTAGCCTCTTGTGATCTCCAACTCTGTGTGTTCAACTGCCTCACGTAACTCAGTATTTCTCAGACAGATCAAACTCAACATGTCCAAACAGAGCTGATTATTTTGAGCCCTGGTTCTCTTATGGATTGCCACCACGTGTCCACTCTCCAAAGCCAGAAATTTTGGCCTCATTCTAGATTTTTCTTTTGCCTTCACAACCCTACACCAAGTCCTGTTGTTATTTACCTACTCAGTATTTAGCAAGTCTGTCGCCTCTTTCTTATCTCGGCACCTATTTTACCTCTGGCCTCGATGGTAAATCCCTCTGTGATCTGGCACCTGCTTACCTCTTCAGCCTCCTCTCCCCTGTTTTTCCCCAAGCTTATTCCAAGTGCTAGCCCAAAGGCAGAACCAAGTTTTTCCAGCCCTTACACTTACGCAATTTGAAAGGCTCTCTGAGGAAAACAATACAACTTTGTGACTGAACATTAGTTACAGAGTTCTGGAAGGGGCCTGTACAATCTTCATTAGCTTCACAGTGCCTCTGCCTCTGTCTAGCTGCACTACACAGAGAGAGCAAGCCGCACTTTCCTAGAACACACCAGAATCCTGCACATCACTTTGCCTTTACACAGGCACTTATCTCTGCCCAAGATGTCCCTCTCTCCCTTCCCTTGGCCACCTGGCAAAACAGTTCGTCCTTCAAGAGTCAGCTCAGGACACACATCCTTTGGGTAGGCTTCCCTGACCTCCCTACGTGGACTTGACCATTCTCACCCTTGTGTTCTCATTGTAACTTGTCCTTTATCTCGTTGTACCCTGTTCTTTACAGAACATCTTATACTCCATGGAAATTATTTGCTTAAAACCAGTTTTGCCTGTGAGTGCCTCAAGGGCAGAAACTAAGCGGTTCCTTTTTAGATGGTCGGAGCCCGACAGTACCTGGCGCAAGGTAGGAGCACAAGACATGTTTGTTGCATGGAATTGAGACCCAAACCATGTATATTACAGGCACCCTTCTTTTGGTGAAGTGAGTGGAGTGGAGCAGTTGCTGTAAACAAGGACCCTTGACAGGGCCGATGCTTGGGAGGTATCTGCTGCCCACACCATTCTGGGACGACAGGGTAGGGCCCAGTATCTGTGCTGTCTTCAAGACCCCCATGGTGAGCTCCTCCGTGTGACCCTCTACCAACCTCCCCACCTCACCCCACTGCCTTCCTTACCTGTCCTCTTTGTTGATCTGGTCCCCAAAGCCAACTGTGCTAACGATCGTGAGCTTTAGCCCCACGTTGCTCTCTTGGAGGTCATAAGTATTAGACCGGAGCTGGACACCTGGCTGTGTGTGGGTGGCTGGCTCCCCTTCGAACTTGGTGTTGAACAGGGTGTCCATGAGGGTGGACTTGCCCAAACCTGTCTCTCCTGAAAAGCAAAAGGATAAATTATGGTCTGTTCGCATATTGACTATGCAGCCCTTACATATCACGTTTCAGATATACACATGTTGACATGGGAAAATGAACATGATAGGCCAGGTATAGTGGCTCACGCCTGTAATCCCAGCGCTTTGGGAGGTCAAGGCGGATGGATCATGAGGTCAGGAGTTCGAGACCAGCCTGGCCAACATGGTGAAACCCTGTCTCTACTAAAAATAGAAAAATTAGCCGGTCATGGTGGTGCACACCTGTAGTCCCAGGAGGGGATTGAGGCAGGAGAATCACTTGAACCTGGGAGGCGGAGGTTGCAGTGAGCCGAGATCACGCAACTGCACTCCAGCCTGGGCAACAGAGGGAGACTCCTCCTCAAAAAAAAAAAAAAAAAGAAAGAAAATGAACATGATAAAATATAAAGCGAAAAGCATATAGAAGCAGACGAACTATACGATCTCAGTTAAATGAAGAAGACTGAAAGGAACTATATCAATGGATCAGCAGTAGTCATCTCAGATAGTAGAATTGAGGTAATTTTCATTTTATTCTTCCAATTTTTCTGTCATTTGGAAATTTTACCTTGAGTATACACTGCTTTTACAGTCAGAAAAAGAAATTATGTTACAAGCAGCAATGGAAAGGCATAGCTATGCCTAGAAAAAAAGACTGAAAGGAAATACAATATACTCTTACCAATGGCTATCTCTGAGTGGTGACCTTATGTGTGGTTTTCATCGTTTTCTAAGTGGAATATGTAATATGTATAGTTTCTTTCATAAAAATTAAAGGGCTGTTTTAATTTTTTTTTTTTCTTTCTTTTGAGATGAGTCTGTCTGTCACCAGGCTGAAGTGCAGTGGTGCTATCTCGGCTCACTGGAACCTCTGCCTCCCAGGTTCAAGCGATTCTCCTGCCTCAGCCTCCTGAGTAGCTGAGATTACAGGCACGTGCCACCACGCCCGGCTAATTTTTGTATTTTTAGTAGAGACGGGGTTTCAACATTTTCACCAGGCTGGTCTTGAACTCCTGACCTTGTGATCCACCCGCCTCAGCCTCCCAAAGTGCTGGGATTACAGGCATAAGCCACGGTGCCCAGCCCTTAATTTTTTTAAAAGGACAACGGTGGCCAGGCGTGGTGGCTCACGTCTGTAAGCCCAGCACTCTGGGAGGCCGAAGCGGGCAGATCACTTGAGGTAAGGAGTTCGAGAACAGCCTGACCAACACTGTAAAACCCTGTCTCTACTAAACAAATATATGTATACATACACAATTTAGGCTGGCATGGTGGTGGGCACCTGTGATCCCAGCTACTGGGAGGCTGAGGCAGGAGAATTACTTGAACCAGGGGAGGTGGAGGTTGCAGTGAACCGAGATAGCGCCACTGTACTGCAGCCTGGGCAACAGAGCAACACTCCGTCTCAAAAAAAAAAAAAAAAAAAGAAAGAAAGAAAAAAAGACAACGGCCCCTTGTCAAACAAATATCCTCTCATCCCAGTCCCCACCTCTCCTCCCTGCCAGGCCTAAACAGCCCTTTCTGGATGCCCCAAATGTGCCTCCCAGCGGTGAAAACCATAGAGGCCCCTGGCTTATCCTCCCAGCCGGGTTGAACTTTCAGTGAGACAGTTTTTAACTAAGAGGGGTGGGGTAGGGAGACCTAGCAGACCACAAATTCTTCTTAACCTTAAATTTTCAACAAACTAGCCATTTGTTTGTTTAACTACTAGGCTGTGGGATACTAATAAATCAAACCATTGGAATTTTAAAAGTCCCGAACTTCGCACTAGGGAAATGAGTAGGGGAAGGGCTTGGCAGACTGGTGAAGGTTTTGGGGGCTTATTTTTGGGAGATCAGGGGATACCAAGCCACTGTCAGGAGCCAAGGAGAGTTCAGGGAATGGGACATCACAAGAAGTCAGGAGTTGGTGACACAGGGGTTAGATAGGAATCTGATATGAGGCCACTAACTGAGCTGGCCACTAAAACCACTTATAATCTTATAATCTCTACAGATCCAGGCTGTATTTGACCCCTCAGCCCACCCCAAGTGACTCAGAAATACCAGGAATTAAAGAATCAGTAGAGAGGCAGGGACTAGGAGAGATCATATCGTTAATTACTCGGGCCTGCCCTTTGAAGACAAAGACTACCCTCCCATTTTATTCTGCTACCGTCATCCCTGTTTCTCCCTCTCCTCTCCCCAACCCAAGGGGGATGTGAGCCTTGACTTCTCTTCACAGTGGGGACTGGGTTTGCATTGGGCAAATCGTGGCCTGGCAAATCCCCCCTCAGGACCAAAAGCACACATCTGCAAGGTGGTTCAGGGCTACAGTTAGGGCTTCATGATGCAGGAACTGGAAATGTTCCATCTCCCCTCCCCGCTCGGGGTGTGTCTAGCCATGCTTCTTTTATCCTGAATAATGAGCTATGAATGCAGGAGGTGCCTTTTAAAATATCTGTCTATGATAAGAGTTTTCTATGTGTGGACAGTGAGAAAGGAGAGAGAGAGAGAGAGGAGGGAGACAGGAAGAGGGAGGGAGAACAAGGAGAACATTCAATTCAGTCTGGCTACCCAGCCCCCCAGTCCAATTTCATAGCCAGGTCTGACTAACTTGGTAAATTGCCACAGTGTGCGGAAATGGTTCCTCACACAGACCATGTTTCCAGCCAGGGTCTGCTATATCCATTAGCAGCAAAGACTCTCGGAGAAGAGGCCCCCTTTTTCCTCTCCTAAAGGAACAGGAAGTATTTGGGTCCCAGGAAGAATTTGATGAGGTGAGGCCTTTGCCATGGGAGGTGGCAGACTTGGCCAAGCAGTGGAATGTATCACGCCCCCACCTCACACAAGGTTGGGGTGCAGCTTAACTGTAAACGGGGCCAGCACCTTGGAGGTGGGAACATAGTGCGGCTCCCACATCCTAACTCACCTCCCCTTTCGAGGGCACTGAGGTTTGAGCTACATTTTAGCCCATCTTCCTATGTGCCTGATGAATTTTCCAAGTACATCCTTACTCCCAACTCCCTTCTGTTCTGTGAGCTCCCTGCCGAATGCCCTGCAGCTCCTAGGGAGTAGAGGTCCTATCTCCCCAGCACCCAGAGTGGGCACCCTGGCTTTCCAATTCTAAGAATTCTCAGAGGCAGGGCGCAGTGGCTCACACCAGTAATCCCAGCACTTTGGGAGGCCAAGGCAGGTGGATCACGAGGTCAAGAGATCAAGACCATCTTGGCCAACATGGTGAAACCCCATCTCTACCAAAAATACAAAAATTGGCTGGGCGTGGTTGCGGGCGCCTGTAGTCCCAGCTACTGGAGAGGCTGAGGCAGGAGGATTGTTGAAAGCGGGAGGCAGAGGTTGCGGTGAGCCGGGATCGCGCCATTGTACTCCAGCCTGGGTGACAGAGCGAGACTCCATCTCGAAAAAAAAAAAAAAAACAGAATTCTCAGAGAGCTGGAGATAGGGCATCTTCCAGTACCCCCAGGAGTGCCTATCCTGAGGTTCACCCAGAAGGCCTCAGGGGCACCACCACAGAGCGAGTGACCCACTCTGTTTGCACAGCTGGAGGAATGGGAGCCGGGCTAGGCAGGACAGGGAGCCAGGAGCAACAGCAGGAGAAATGACCACCCAAATGCCTGCCGGCACCAAAGGGCTGTGGAAATTAGATGCCAAATAATGAATGTCTGGAAGAAAAGAACACCCAGGTGTCTAGGAAATTGTGATAAACACAAGAGTAGAGAGGGCAGAAAGTCAAGCGAGCTCGTCCGATGGCTATCGACTGCTTCCATTCCAGTTTTCCAGCAGTGTAGAGCCTGGGAGTCGGGGAGGCTTTCTCTCAATGACTGGCACAGACCCAGCCTGAGCCTAGGATGCTGCCCCTCCCACAGCTGCCCTGGGCCCAGTACTGAGTGTGAGTGTGTCGTAGGGGAAGGCACACGTGACCTAACTGGGATCAGGTCAACAGATTCCACGCCCCTGCAGGAAGGTGGGGACTTGGCAATTAGATTCCAGCAGGAAACCTGAGGAGTCCCAAGGGGTCAATTTCTCATTCCTCCTCCCCCAGCTCTCCCAGAGCTCCTCCGAATGGATAGTAAGGTTTTTAACACATGCTCCACCAGGCAACAGGATTTCATCTCAGTTTACTTAATGTAGACAGTATTCTGGAAAAGGTTTTTTTTTTTTTCTAAATTAAATTTAAAACATATATGAGTACTATGAAATATGGTTTTTTTCAAACTATACTCTTGCAGGGCACGGTGGCTCAGGCCTGTAATCCCAGCACTTTGGGAGGTCGAGGCGGGCAGATCATCTGAGGTCAGGAGTTCAAGACCAGACTGGCCTACATGGTGAAACCCCTTCTCTACTAAAAATACAAAAATTAGCCAGGCGTGGTGGCACACGCCTGTAATTCCAGTTACTCAGGAGGCTGAGGCTGCAAAATTGATTGAATCTGGGAGGCAGAGGTTATAGTGAGCTGAAATCTTACCACTACACTCCAGCCTGGGCAACAGAGCGACATCTCGTCAAAGAAAAGAAAAGGAAGAAGGAAGAGAGAAGGACTTCTAGCCAGGTTGCCATGAAATTACTGTGTGACATGAACTGAGCCCTTCCCCCTCTCCGGGTCCCAGTTTCTTTTTCTATAAAATGAGAGGGTTGGTAATAATAGCTATTGTTTACAGACACTGCTGCAAGTTTTTAACATATATTTTCCTATTTATTCCTCACAATAAGCCTATGAGGCAAATGTTACTCTTTGTCCTCAATTTAGAGACGGGTTAACCAAGCCACTTACTAGCTGTTGAAATTTGCGCTAGTTCCTCAGCATCTCTGTACCTTACTTTCCTCATCTATAAAATGTGGAGGGGCCAGGCATCTTTGCTCATGCATGTAATCCCGGCACTTTGGGAGGCTGAAGCAGGAGGATAAGTTGAGGCCAGGAGTTCGAGACCAGCCTGACCAACATAGACCCTGTCTCTGTTTTATATTATTTCCATAGGTTTTGC